GATCGCGGGCAAGTACACCACGCAACCTCAGGACCTCGCGGGCTAACAGCCACCACATCAAACCAATGGAATGAGATGACTAGAACAAATAAATATCACTATTACAAAACAATGGTTTTCAAAATTAGTACATAATTGGCACATTACATTTTAGAAGTTGCAATAATACACTAACCAACATTAAAATTAACTCTTCTGAAATTAAAATTTTCCATTCTGGGTTTCCAATATTGTTAACCTGTGCATGGACCGTAACAGAGTTTACCGTAAAATTAAATATCAGAATATCTATAGTATCTTGTGCTGTATGGATCTCAAAAACCAACTATGGGCTTTACAGTATGATTTGCAAGTACTTTCTGTGTAATTGCCGCCTAGTGCTTCTCCATACAGAATATCAACAATGTACTGATAAAATTCAATTTACATTGAACATTTTATACTGAATGAATATAACTATGGCAACAAAAGTAGTGACATTTTTGTGTGCAGTACTAAATAAGTACTGTCTATGAATGGGAGAAAGCAAACATCGCCAAGTGTGATATTGACATAAACTCATAATCTTCATACAATATATTTATTACCTTGGTGTTGCATGGGATGGCAATGTCAACAAATCGAAGTGGTGAATCAGTATTGCAGAAAGCAATGACTGGAATGTTCACATAGGAAGCCTCAGTGATAGGCTGGTGATCTTGAGCTGGATCAAGGACAATCAAGAGACGTGGCTCACGGAAGGCAGCTTGAATCTGAAATAATATATCATATTAGTTGTTGCTTTAATTGAAATAAGAGAGAATTTGAAATGTAAAAAAAAATCAGAACAGTTTTAATCATAGCTGCATTAAATGCAGTTGTCAGTGGTTCCTTAGTTTAAATTATCATCATTGAAAAAAATACTGATTACAATATTCATATCCGCTCTTACTTCATAAACCCAGTTACAATAATGTCAACAAGTTCCTTTGTCTAAAACACTGTGATGATGCTGACCTCCTTCATCATCATCCCACTGTTTTACCATCCTCTTTTCTGGGATTAGTCGACATAACCCTTGATATAGTATTCGCAAAACAACTTACTCCTAAAAAACCTCCTGTTCGTCAAATGACCTATTGTTAAAATTGCCTGTTTGTAGAATGACCTTTCTTAAAAAGACCTGCTTGCCAAATGCCTTCTTTTAGAAGTGTAATTCTTATTATATTATTTAAAATTATACAGGGTTATAAAAAATCCGTACATTTTTTTCCTGTGCATAAGATTCAGTAATACAACACATTAGTGAAATAAAATTTAAAAAAAATTTATTGCTGACCCATTTTTCTTGCTGTTAATATTTCCCAATAATTTCTAATGCGAGGTTTCCTTAAAGCAGTAAATAAAAATCGGTACGTCGACCCGATGGCCGGTATCTGGAAGCCGGAGTTTCGGGAGCTTGCGCGACAGCCAATCGGCGCCAACGCATTCGCTCGCTAGTATATTTGAGGATTGCAAATCGTTTTTTGTTGTTCCCATTGTAGCACGTATTTCATTATGTAACAATGTATTCTTATCGAAAGTATTACGAGTGGTTCGTTTTTATATCGAAACTGGTTGGAGTCTTCACAAGGCTCGAGTAAAGACTTTATGAAATGGAGAGCGTCCCCGTCTACGAGTTCAGTACTTGATAGATCCAAGAGTTCCGCAACGAAGCACAATTTTTGCGGTAAACCAACGCCTACTCAACTACGGCCAGTTTACGTTATCAATTCACGCGGAAGTGGGCGACACTGAAAGTATTTTAATGAGTGAGTACTAAAACCGTAGCGTGAAGTTAATCGGCGTGTCAACGTAGCTCAAAACCCTAGCGAATTCAAATCAAACATTATTGGTGCATTTTACAAATAAAGGAAGGGCCAAAACTACCGAGAATCGAATTCGGGAACTCCTTATCCATTGCACAAAGAGCTAACTATACGGCCACCGAAGTCGATAAACTCTCGCACTGTCCTCCGTAATGTTGTTGCTACGGTTATTAGACGCCGTTGCGTCTAATAATCGTTGGGTGTCAATATTATTCACAATTTTTCAGAAAACTTTAAAATGTCTTAACTTATTTATTTGTAAAAAGATCTTCAAGTATTTGAAAAAAAAACCAAACATGTTTTTTTAGTTCTATTATGCAGTATGCTCCTTTAAAATCCGTCAGTGACTTTTTTATCACTCTGTATGCATGAGTACAAAATTCCGAATGCCAGTATTAAACAGCACTTAAGTTGTTAATGTATAATGCGATGACTTAAAAATACCACACTTTTTAAAAAAAATGTAACTATTACTTATTACATTTCAAATATGATTTAGTAACCTCAGAAAATGTGTGAAGTCCCCAACCCGCATTGGGTCAGCATGGCAGACAATGACCCCAGTGTCCAGCAGTGGGATGTATGTGGGTTGATAATGAGAGTATGTACCAAAATTAATGAAAACATTAAATTACTAGTTGATTTAGGAAACTTGTTTTTTTTTCTTAGTTTTACCTACTCCTTATGTTATTGTGTCGAATTCCCCTAATAGAATTAATATATAAATTGGTTAAGTGACAACCAATTACATAAATGAGACATTTCAAGAATAAGAGCTTTAAGAATGAGTCCTTTTAAGCATAAGCCTTTGGATATATTACAAATAAAATACCACAATTATGTACTCTTACGACGATAAGTCATTTTGCAAATAGGTTGTATGTTCACTAAGCCCTTTTCTAGTTCTTAGCCAATTATTTTTTAAATTTTGAATCATTCTCGAATTCCCTTTTCCTTCACTATAAGGCTAGGCCACAACTGCAAAGGTACTAATGGTAAATACACGAGAATCAACATGGGTTTCAAAAAAACAAATCCACAGCACATGCAGCGTTTCACATAGTTAACGAGATTTTACAAAATGTAAATAGAAAGTTGTACACAACGGGACTATTTTTGGACATGTCTAGGGCTTTTGATTTCGTTTCACACGACTTATTATTGACGAAATTAGAGCATAACGGAGTTCGAGGTCCAGCACTAAGTTGGTTAAAATCCTACCTTACAAAGAGGTCACAATGCGTACAAATAACCCAACTAAACACAAAAAATTGTACCGAAATATATAAATCTCACTTTAAAAGTAATAATTACGGAGTTCCTCAAGGGAGTATACTTGGTCCCCTGCTATTCCTATTATATATTAATGACGTATGTGATAGCACGGAACACGAAATAATTCTTTTCGCAGATGATATTTCAGTGGTTGTCACTTCTCCAATAAATTCAACATTAGAATATCATAAAAACGAATTGAAAAAAACAATGACATCACTAATTGACTACCTACAAAAACACAATCTTCAAATTAATTTAAGTAAAACTAATATAATGAATTTTAATAACTTACGAACACAGACAATTGACATGGATTATAAAGGACAAATCTTGCGAAACGAAACCAATGTGACATTTCTAGGATTAATTATAGACCAAAAGATGAATTGGAGGGATCAAACGGACAAAGTATGTGCTAAAATAAATAGGTTTGCGTTTGCTCTTTACAAATTGTCAAAAGTAGCGAATAAATGCACAGCCAGGACTGCCTATTTTGCGTATGTTGAGTCTGTACTCAGATACGGTATCGTAATTTGGGGCAACGGAACAGATTTTGCGAAGGTTTTTATTGCTCAAAAGCGATGTATACGTGCCATAAGCAATGTAGCACCGTATATCTCATGTCGTCCTCACTTTAAAACACTAAGAGTATTGCCCCTCCCATGCCTGTACATTTTCGAAGTTGGTATATTCGTGAAACGAAATCTATCGAAATTCTTAATAGCGAAGGACGTAACATTCAGAAGCCTAAGGAAGCCCAATAAAGCCGTACTAAATACAATACCCAAAACAAAACGTTTTCTAAATAACTCGTATGTAATGTGTGGAAAAATTTTTAATCGTATACCAGATCGCATTAAGCCTCTACCATTGACTAATTTTAAAAAGGAATTGCGCATGTGGCTCTTTGATCATTTATTTTACTCTATTGACGAATTCATGAATCATAAAGAATAATTAATTGATGCATACATTTTTCCCATCATTAAAAAAAATATATATATTATTATTATTAAATTATGACATACACGATTCTGACATATCAAATTAAATCAATTATCTTAAATTTATCAATTTGTTGCCTAATTATTGTTTTAAAATCGAATCTCAATCCACCAATGTATTATTTTATTATTGTATTTGCATGCTTTTATTTTAGAAGGCCGAATAGGTTTAAGTTCTGATTTAATTTTTACCATCAACATGTGTAATGTACCCTACCCTATTTGAAGCGAATAAATGAATTATATATAATATCTTACCTGGTTAGTGAATGCACCAGGAGTGAAACGTCCAGCAATAGGTGTGGCGCCAGTGTGAGCGGCGAACTTCAGCACGGCACGCTGTCCAAATGGACGTGACGAGATCACGAATACGTCAGCAGGGTTTTCAATGGCCACCACGGCGCGCGCGGCCAGAACTAGTTTCTCCCAGGTACGGCGGAGGTTAATCACGTGGGTACCGTCCGTTCGACGCTTATAAACGTACGTTTCCATCTATAAACATAACACTGCCGTTATCGTATTAAAATACATAGTACATGAAATATAACATGAATAAAGACTCAGGTGGGAGAATTTGACATCAACATCTTCAGAAGTATATATGGAACGGATTCTCGTATCATCATGTAAAATAACTCAAAATAGTTTGCGATGAAGTTCGATATAATTCTTATTTATAAAGGTTATGTGTACAACTAACCTGGAAGTTGACATTCTCGGACCCGAGATGGGTCGTCGCTGCGAGCATCTTGGTGACATCTTCCTCATTGAGGGCAAGCACATCAAGTCCTCCCGACATCGTTGCGTTTATTTGAGTTACGATTAAACCTAAAAATACAACACATTCCCGTGAGGCCACTATTACACACCGGTCAATCCTAGATTTTCATAATGACATTACGGTAAATATAATATTTTTTAAACAAAACCTAGTATAAACTATATACTTTATTCATTTATAATAAATAAACACCATTGATTGTAACAATAAATAAAGATTTTTTTTAAACTTACGCGTGTAACGCCACTGGGAGGGAAATTGAACCTAAAAAGAACGGTCAATGTCAAAGTGACAACCATGGCATGGAAAACAGCACAAAATTATTTTCCCGCAAATAGCGCTATACGTTCTTTTCATAAAGATAAATATATCGCATTTTACATTAGCCCGTTTGGGCACTGTATTCGATTATTCGGAACGAATACGAGACTTAGCTCCGGACTCCGGACTTCGCTTCACTTCGGATTTCGCTTGTGCACAAAGTGCGATTCAAATCCGAAAAAAGACTAATATCGCTTGTATGCCTATAAAATGATCTCTGTGACATTTCAGACCGTCATTCCTCGCGGGCGTAGCGCACTAACGCTCATGGGTCATATTATTTTCACTGCAATCTAGTGGTGGTGCCTTTCTACACAGTAAGCCTGCTTTCGGGGAGCTGGTCCCGTTTCATCCATATCACAGGTGGTCAATGTTTTTTCTTAGAAACAACAAAAAACTTAAAACCATCTGCAAAGTTCACGCTCCATCACACCCTGTATCAGTAATTAGCCAAAAATAGTATATAAGCGCTACTGGCGACATTTGCCAGTAGAACTTAAAAAAAAAATCCAATTTTATTTACGAGGGGGAACTTTAGGACATATTAGTTTGCATGAGAATCGTTGTGATTGCGCTCTAATAATATTTTATTTAAATACAAAAACACAGTATGACAGATGTTCATAAATTGGAACCACTAGTAGAAAAGTCGTATTTTAAGAGGAAAATGTTCACGCTTGATTACTTTAATACTTTTTGTAAAAAATGCTGGACGCTTAAACAAGATGAAAAAGTGTTTTCGACGGTCATTTATGTAACTTCATAAATAGAGAATAAAGAGAGAAGTTTCTTTCAATCGGAAATCCGGAATTTGAAAAAAGTAATTATTTAATATTTGGTGGTGTTCTTGTTGCTATATCTATGTATGTGGAACACCTTTTTCCGACCAAGGCTGGTAAGGTAACCACATATTTTTTTAAATTACAAATCTATTTACAACTTCATTAAAATGTAACTATACTATGAGCACAGGGTTTACCCAACTGTTAACTATTTATAGTTATTCAATAGACTCTATACCTATAATTTATTAAAAGTAACCCTACTATTTGTTTACATTAAGTCACGTTACTAGCCTTCTTTCTATTATTATTGAAATGGCACTAATGCATCACTTGAAACTAGCAAACATAATTTCACCAACGACGCTTAGCTATATGATTTTAAAATTGCCTTTTCGCTTCACTTCACTTTTTATTTTTATGGCTCCATCAATATGAGAACTGATGATTTTGCCAATGTCACAGTTGAAAGAAAAAAAACGAAACCAAAAAAAATTTTCGCTAAGCTCTAATAGGACATTAACCGGTGTTGGTAAGTTGGACTACGGGAGTACTCAGTTGAGAATGTAAAACAAAACAGCAAAACAATATTTATAAATATATGTTATTTAAGTGGATAAATTTACATAGAGTAACAATATGGGGGAGAACACTAAAGTTAAGAGGTTGTTTATGTTAATGGGGCGGGGGAATTGTGTCTATGGCTCCGTCGTTTTGCGCGACGATTTTGCCAATGATGTCAGGGTTGAGAGACATGTGTAGCGGTAGTGAGTGAGACAGATTGCCGGTTATTAAAATACTTCGGCGGTTTTTATTCACAATGACGGTTATATATATATTTTAATGACATTACAAAAATATAATTTGAGAGCTTATGTTAATTTCTTTCTTTTAGAAACGTTGTAGGGAAGTTTTATTTAGCGGGAAAATATTTTAATATTTGCTTTTTTTCTTTATTATAATAAATTACCTCGTCGCCACTCTGTTTGAAAAACTTTTCCATTCTTGGTAAAAAACGCAGTGCATATTGTTTCGTTGCTAATTTCATACTATTGCTATCTCTGTAGTGCTATTTAGATCAGTGTGAAAGAAAAAACTGAACTTTTTTTTAATTTTTGGCTCCTAGTGGATGGTGGTTTCGTCTTAGTCAAACGTCTACTTTCTCGACGGCTGCTTTTTTTAATTTAAATTTATGAGTGCTGCCATTTTAACAATAAGTAACCTCCCGATCCGCAGGATTTTATACATTAAATTTCACGATCTTTCAAGATAAAGTAAATGTTTCTTTCTTTGATAAGTCATACGACATTAATCAAATGCATTGTGAAAAATTAGATTCGTTGTATATTTTAAAAAACTCTTTAAGATCTTGATTCTTGCTTTCTTGTTGGTAGGTTACAAAAATATTCTGGTCACATTGTTAGGTGATGTGATGTGTGTGGTTCTGTCTGTCTGTGATCGCTAGAATTTCCCCGTATTTGCATTGTTAATTAATTGATTTTGGTTTATTTAGTGAGATACTACATGCATTATGATTACTTTACTACCCTGACCTAAAACTAAGATAATAAGTAGCATACTTTGTGAGTATTTTGGTATTCGGTGACATTTCAGTGAAGTGCCTAATTTGATCATGGAGGCTATAGCAAAACACGATTTCTCTGCCACTGCTGATGATGAACTCAGTTTCAAGAAGAATCAAGTTCTCAAAGTAAGTTTTACTCGCAATAAACATAATTTGAAAGTATGTGATGATGTGTGTTGACAGGTTCTTTCTAGAATGTGTGATAAATTGCAGATTCTAAACATGGAGGACGATATGAATTGGTATAGAGCGGAATTAGACGGAAAAGAAGGATTAATCCCTAGCAACTACATACAAATGAAGAATCACAGGTGTGTATGATCCTACTATGGCAGTAGCAAGTGCTTTTTACTTCATTACTAACTTTCCGAAGTTGCGAAAGTTACGTCAAAAACTTGTGCATTACATTCAAATTGTGCCGAGAAAAGAATAAAAACTCGGTGCACGTTTCTCTGTATTTCAAAAAAGTCTATTTAAATTGTATGAAAAACTGCCAAACAATGTACATTTACATGTTGTTAAGGTATAATATAATAATATTCTTGCAATTATAAGGAAAACGATACTGTTGTAGTTTTTGAGCTAGTTTGTCCGTTTACAGTTGGTATTATGGAAGAATCACAAGAGCAGATGCTGAGAGACTATTAGCCAATAAACCAGAGGGTGGCTTCCTCATACGGATCAGTGAATCTAGCCCTGGAGACTTCTCTCTATCAGTCAAGTAAGTACTTAAAACACCTTAAGGCGCCATATACTTCCCAATTCACATAATGTGTGAAATTATTCAGACCCAGACAATATACTGAATATAAATTATAACAATGTAAATTCCTATGATCACGTAAACATCCAGTGTACATTATAATGAAAATATTGTATTTAAATGTAGCGCTATATATTCTTTATGATCGTAGGGTGACCAGAAAAATACATTTTTGTAGGGCTTCGGTCTGAAGCATGTAATTATATTTAGTAAATCTTGATGTACATTGATCATTTACTGCTTTTCCAGGTGTAAAGAAATAAAGCAAAATTGTTTATTTTGTTAATAATTTACTGCACTGTGTACTGACACACACATTATATGATTTGACACATAATACAATACAATTATTATAAGATTTGTAGTTTGTAAAAGTGTTGGATCTGAGGAAGAAATGCTTATCTTTTCACAGAATGTATGTAGTCAGTTAAAATTAATATTAAACAGTACACCTATTATTATTAATACAAAGATTGAACACGGAGAAGAATTCTTATGTTCCTGCTGGATTTGAACCAGTGTATTCAGCATACATAACAAACTAGTGGATTAATTTCACAAAAATGAGCAAAATATCTTGATATTTATTAAACTTATTAGTACACTTATGGTTTACATAATAACAAATTCAAACGTTCAACAAAAAATACTAAAATTAAATAATGTTGCCTTGTTTAATGCAACCTGAATCATAGTTTAGTTGATAACAAACTATTAACTTCTATACTTACATTGACAGTTTTATACAACACCACTCAAATCAACTAGCCAAGCAGCTGAGCATGCCTGCAAGTATGCAATACCTAAAAAAAGAGGCATTTTTGACCATGATAGTCAGCAAAATACCTGACTACACAATCTGTAGGGTTAGGCTGGGAGTAATACTCTTTCTATTATGATACTATAAACCATCTGTTTACAGCCAACAAGGCTGATGGCAGGATAAAGTAGATGAGAAACTCAATTACTATTTTATAGCATTAAATCAAATGAGTTTATTTGGAAGATTGATTCCACACCCACTGGTTTACTCCCACTGAACTCCTTAGGTGGCCCATATTTTGGTTTTTGCTAAATATTCTAACAGACAATATATTTATTTCTGTAGAATTATAAACTGATACAAAACCTCATAAATTACTTCATTTAGCTTGTATATATTGAGTTCTTACATTTACGCGATTGCTACACAGGAAATGAAACTATTTTTTTTTCCAGGTATAAAACTGTGTATATTTGTTTTTGCAAACCAAGTGTGCTCAGCTTTTTACAGGTCCTGAGACCATGTGACCTGTGAAAGAATCTAAAACAGGTCTGTTTGAAAAAACCAATTTATTATTTACTATTTTAGATCTGGAAAAGATGGTTGTCGTTGATCTTCACTCACTTCTTGATATCATCTCTATGCAGATGATCTCCAAATTTATTCACAAGCCACTCTAATTGACTTACCTGATGCCATTAAAAATACTCACAGGGATCTTGAAGGGATTCTCGCTTATAGTCACTCGTTTGGTCTCCAGAGTTAATCTTATCATGACCCAGTGTATAATTATTGGCAGCCCCCGGTTCATACCGCGTGTCGACCTTGGCTTATTGCCTCTCATCTTATTCGATGGTATTCTAATCCCTATATGGGATACCGTTAGGAACCTTGGGGTCACTTTTGATAAGAACCTAACTTGGAAACCTTAGGTCACCGAGGTTAGTAGGAAGATGTTTGCTGCTTACACGTCCCTTCGACGTCTAGGAAATTTTCTTCCCATTCCGACTAAAATCAGTCTGGCACAGACACTCCTGCCTATATTAGACTAAGCGGATGCTTGTTATCCAGACTTGCCGGCGGACTTGCTCAACAAGGTGGAGCAGTTGCAGAATCTTTGCATTAGGTTCACTTTTCGGTTGCGTAAATTTGACCATGTCTCAGACTTCCGATCCAAACTTGGATGGTTGCCCATCCGTCGTAGAAGGAACTTTCGCCTTTTACCACTTCTGTACTCTGTTCTCTTTAATTCCAACTTTCCTCCCTACCTCAAAGATTGTTTCGTGTTTCATAATACTACTCTCAGTCGCATCTTACGATCTTCTCTTACTCTTTCTTTAAACTTCCTTATCCATTTTTCTAACTTCTATTTCCAACTCTTTCAAGGATAGAAGCATCAAGCTATGGAATTCTCTGCCTGAATCAATCAGACGCGCTAAGTCTGTTGAGTCATTATTATTACTAATTATTATTATTTTCTCCTATTCTTACCTGTTTTAGATCTTCTGTGTTCTTATTATTACGTTCTATATAATCCTGCTTTCATTTTGTGTAATCATATGTATTTTTTATTTTTAGTTATTTTATTTATTTAAGTCTTTTATATATTTATTACTATTATTTTGGATATCTGTTTTAGACTGTTTTTATTATTATTTTTCTTTTTTTCCTGGAAGAGATTGCTGTATAGCAATAAGGCCGCCTGTTGTACCTGTTTTTTTTATTTTGTGTTTGTCCCAGTGTGCATTCAAGAACATTTGTATTTGTAGTTTCCAATTGTCTTGTATCTATTTGCGCTTATGGATATTTCATGTAACTCAGTATTAAGCACTGTAAATCGTTAATAAATGATATGGTAATGTCAGTAAATGATGGCATATTATATTTTTAATTATTCAATCAAAACTCTTTACAATTCTATTTCTTATAATAATTTGATTTAGACTCATAAAAGGTTTGCCTAAAGCGCAAATCTTTAAAGACAAATAAACACTACAATGATTTTAGTTAATGAAAATAACTTCTTAATCATATTAAAAGGCATTGCACGTGGTGTAAACTCAAGTCAACCGACAATTATAGCCGTACCTAATATGAGATTAGTATTTTGTGGTATATATGTTAATATGTCATGGTGATTTACAAATAATTCTCTGATTTTGTACAAATTTTAGCATATTGTAGCCTGTTTTAGCCTGTTTATACATATGGTTCATTACAGGATAATCTTATAGAAAAATAATTATTGTAATGAACTGAGATGTAAAGATACTTTCATCTTGCAATGTGGAGGATCGAAATAAACCATAACCTAAACTAGTTTTGCAGCTACATCCTGATAAGAAGCTTAACTCGCGGACCCCATTTGTCAATGTTTTTATCAATTCCACAGACCCCTGCTAACATCGCATTTTTTATTTTAATAGCACAATAGTGAATATGCGGACACGGATACCCATGGTCATAGCGAAAGGCTCTTAAGGATTACAGGCCACCACCGACCAATCGAAAAAAACTAAATTTTATTTGATAATTTTTCATTTATATATATATTTCATTTACAATGAAAAATATTTTATATTTATACATTTCCTTTTAGTCCTAGTAAATTTCGGAAGAATCTCGAAAAGTGCGTTATTATTATTATAAATGTAAAGCGCTTCTTACGCAATTTTTATCTGTTGTCATTGAAAACGAAGGATCGTTTAATTAATATTCGCGTCCAAATTGCTTGATAATAAAAAAAAATGACAATTCGCGTGTGACTAGCGCATGAGTCAGACGATAGTTTATTTTATCCTGAATTTGCCATGGTACGTATTAGTCATGCATTGATCTAAATAAATATTTGTTTTAATGTTTTGAGGACTGTGAATCGCTACCAGAGACCAAAAGTTATTTTGAAAAATATTTACTACCTCAGCGGTGTTTTCCATTTAACACATACGAGGGCTGCCTTTTATATTTCGGGATTAGAGAACAATAACAAATATCACAGAAAATCACTTTATTGTTTATCAAATTATTCCGCATGAAGATCAAATATACTTTTTTTTACACTTTAACCATTGACTTACAATTATATGGACGTCGGGTCCGCGCTAAAAAGTGTCCGCACTTGTAAGGCGCTAAAATCGTATACAGAGCGCGACACTCCTCTTTAGTCTTCATTTGTTCTACGGACAGCGCGATACTGCGATGACATAACAATTTAAATTTCGAATAGGTTGACTTGGGACATTTTTTTCGTGGTTTTTGTATTAGACCCGTCGTCCATCTATTTGTAAGTCAATGACTTTAACACATTAAATTACAAGCGATATTTCACTCCCAAAGCTAAAGGAAATGGTTTGCTCCTAGTAATAAATATAAGAAAATTATATATTTTGCTTATTTTCCTTGACCATATTTTTGCCCTGTTGGACAACAAAACTACTAAACGCTTGACATTGCTCACCCCTAAATCGGGTTAGGACCCCTGTTCATTTCTTGTTTTATGAAGACAAATGAATATGAAGATTCAAATGTTCATAATATTTAAGACTAAGTTTCTAAATCACATATTTTTCTCCGCAGACTTAGAGACGAGATTAGCAATCTTGAAGAAATTTTAAATATATGCTATAACACGTTATCTACGTCAAAAGCAGCATTATGAACGTGCCAATAGACTTGTTACTCAATACGGTCGCAATTATTGATGCTGTAGGTTTAGTTTCATTTCGACTCCAAGTTGAACCTCGATTGTAAGGAACCAAATGAGACCAAAATAATTTTGTAAAATTTAAATACCGTAAAAACATTTCTTCTGAACGATAGTTTTATCACAAAGTGGAGTCAGGTTACTTGACATAATAGAAATAGATTTTGATTCATTATTTTCATTAATATGTCGGGTCGTATCCAAAAATATCAAAATGCTGATAGTATTCTAACCGCTGCTCCTTTCGGGTACAATGGGTCCATTTATTTTAAAAATGTCATTTTATGGAAAGAAAAGGGAACTAGATCCCACGGACCCAGTTTGCATGCTGCGAGATGCGACTGACGGTCAATTGGTAGGAACACGCTTACGTCTTTTCTCCAAGGACACCGATGTGACGAGCAAATCTAAATGCAAAACGAAGCAAATTGTTTCAATAAAAATATTTCCTCAAAACTTTTTACACTTTTCGACATAGATTTCGTTGAAATC